CGCAGGAGGGGAAGACCCTCTATGAGATGGATTGATTCGGTGACTGGGGTAATCGGTATGGGTGTATCAGAGGCGGTGCGGTTGGCGCAGGATAGAGCAGGGTTTAGGGCTGTTGTGCATAGGGTCGCTATGAGTCGGAAACGACTCGACGGCACATAACAACAACAACAACAACAACAGTCTGTTTGGTGTTCACTAAGCCTCCTGAATGTGGATTTCCTCATTCTTCATAATACTTGGGAAGTTTTCTTCTAGTACCTCTTTCACAATTTTCTGAGAGATTTTCTTATCCCCCTCATATTCTGGAATTCCGGTCATACATGTTATTCCTTTTGATGTCATACATGCATTCTAATATTTTCTTCACATCCCATCACTAATTTTTCTTGTAGTATGTTTCCATAGAGTTTTTGTCTTTCAGCTCACTGACTCTGTGCTCCATGTCTTCTGTTCTACTTTTTTGTCCTTCAAGCATGCTAGCACTTCTGCCATTTCAGTCTTAATATCCTGGATTGCATTTTGATGCCTTTCTGAAATTCTCTGGTGGACTAGTGGCAAGAACCTGTGCTGAAATCCTAAAGGCACACGGGTTGAGGCCACCAGCCATTCTGCAGGAGAAGGATGGGCAATCACCCCCCGTGTGATTAACTACCTCTGAAAACCTGCCAGAGACTGTCACTTCAGACTTTATGATACACAACAACAACCTGTTAGTGCTCTGGTGGCCTAGTGGCAAGAAGCTGCACTGAGGCACGTGATTGATTTGAGGCTACCAGGTGCTCTGTTGGAGAAGAATGGGCAATCTCCTCTCATGCAATTAACTGCCTTTGAAAACACCCTGGAGGGTCAGCTGTGGGTTAGTTCTGATGCTATAGTACAACAACAACAACAATCTCTTGGTTAGTCCCTTTCTTTGTGGCTTCCATTTTTTCTTCCATCATTTGCACTTTCATTCATAGCTGTTCGAATACCTCCATATCAACATATATCATCTGTCTTCTTGACTCTGGTGTATTCATGAGGTCTCTAATAGTCTCTGTTTTATTTTGGAGAAGGCTTAATTTGATTTTTTCACAGTGTTTGAAGCTGCCTGTTGCTTTCTTGACAATATATGATGTGGTTCTTGATAAGCATTGGGTTGTTTCTATTGTGTCTGGAAAAGTTGGTGGCGGTTCTTGGCTTTATATTGTTACTAATTAGTTGCCAAGTTAAAATGTTCAGTCTACGAGGTGAGCTATTCACTCTACTATAAGTCCTTTCTGGAAAAATTTGGCTTTCCTAAAGTTCCTGAGGTTCTCTGTTCTGTACTGCAGCCCTGTAGCAATATGGTCTTTATGTAGTCCTCTGACATCAACTCTATATGCCTCCTTCATGTAAGAATGGCTGAATGGTGTGAGACCACTCAAACTACTCAAGCAGTTTCTCATCCACCTTTCCTTCTGTAGCCTAATGTCTTCCTTTGCTCTGGAGTGGCATGAGATTAGAGATCAAGGCCACCAGTTCAAGCACCTTTTATATCCTGCCACTCTAATACATTGTTCTACTAGCTCTAATAGGGTTTTGTTGTTGTTGTTGTTGTTGTTGAGTCTGTGGAGTTTTCTGTGAGCACTATTATCTGCATATAGCTACACTTTATATTGTTGTTGTTGATTGCCTTTGAGTTGAGCATGGCTCATAGCAACCATATGAACAAAAGGCCTGAACCCTTTCTATAACTGTCAACACTTATCAAAGTTCATAGAGTTTCCGGAGGCATGTTGTACATTTTTAATTTTATCCTGGTTTAGTTACAATGTTCATATATATTGTTTTTCACACCTAATCTTTCCCATTTCCTTTACCTATTCTTTCCTCCACCTATCAAATGGTGCAACTCTCTGATTACCTCCAGCCCATCCCCATCCCTTTGCTCCCCCCTCCACCTGCTTTGTTCCTCATACACATTTTACTAGTTATCTATTTCTACAATAATGGTCTTATACAGTATTTGTCCTTTTGGGAATGAGTTAGTTTACTTAGTAGAGTGCTCTTCAGTCCATCCCAAGTTAGGTAGTAATTCTTTCTCTTGTTGTATTGCCCCAGCAAGTATTCAGTATTGAATAGAAGTGGTGATGGTGGGCATCCTTGCTTGGTTCCTATTAGTAATGAAAAAAAATGCTTTTTGTCTTTCTCCATTGAGAATGATGTTCTTTTTATCTTCATTTTTCTTCTGTCTTCAACCTGGTTTTCTTCTAGTAATTTCTCATGGAGGTGTGGTGGCATTTTTTGTTTGTTTGCTTTCCTGAGTGTGAGATTTCATCTCTTTTACCCTGCTTTTTTGTGCCTTCAGTATGCTGAAAATTTCTGCAGTATTTGTCTTCTTATTATCGTTTATATTTTCATACTTTCTATTCTTTGTAGTACTGTGTCGTTTGTACTCTGTCTTTTGATTTTTTTAAACCTTGTACCTCTTTACTTATGGTGTCATATCTTTCTTCTATGATTTGTAACCTTTTCAGTACCACTTCAGTATATTTGTTCTGACTTCCCATCTCTAGAGTATTCACTGGTCTGCTTTTTGAAGAGAAAACTTGTTTTGTTTTTTCATAATGTTTGAGCCTGGCTAATGCTTCCTTGATATCATGTGAGGTTCTTCTTGCTATGTGTGAAGCAGCTTCTAATTATGCCTATGTAGGAAGCTTTCCGGTTTTTGTCTTTATGATACTGTTCATAGAGTTGTATATTTTAAGTATTTCACCCAATTCTGTTTCCCAACAGCAATCAGCACACAAATTGTGTGCAACTCTGTTCCTTATTCAGGTGGCAAGCTTCTGGGTTGGTTGTACTTGGAAGAGGGAAGAATCAATCTCTCCTTTTGCCAAGGTGTGTTAGGCAGCTCCTCTATGGGTCAAATGAAGCTATAGTTCAAGGTCTCAGTGGAAGCATGTGCTAATTTAGGCTGGGGAGTTGGAAGCAAGGAGTTTGAGGCCAAGACTGACAGAAGAAGTCTTTGGACTCGGGCTCCTAGCACTCTCTTCCTTGAGTTACAGTGTGTGCATATGTGTCCTGAAGGAAAAGAGACAGCTGCAACCTACAGGCCACTGGTTTGGGGTGAGAACCTTGGGATCCAGACCAAGAGAAGCAGTCATTGGATGTGGGGTCACAGTACTTGCTCTTCTTTCTGAATAACAGTGTTCACCTTCCTATCATGAAGGCCAAAAGGATGGCAGCAGCTGCTCCCTGTAGGCTGTAAGCTGGATAAAAAGGTCTTTGGAAGTAGGACTCTGGTGCTTTCCTCCCTGAGTTGTGGTGCATAACTTTCTCTCCTGAAATTCAAGAGAATGGCTATAACTGCACCTTGCAGGCTGCTGGGTCAGGGAGGGATGGGGGGGGGGGAATCTGTGTTCTTCTAAGTCATTCTTCCCCTTTCTTTCTTTTTTTACTTTGTGAAATTGTTCTTTCATGTTGCACTATACTTTCTTTAACCTTTTCCCAATTAACAACAGACTAAACTCATTCTCATTTTTTCTATGATATATATCTTAATAGCTACGTAATTTTCCATTTTCTGTGTTTCTTACTAAAGTTTCAAGAAAGAAAGTTACCAGCTCCAAAATAATTGTATTTTTATTCTTTTTCCTAGCCTTTGACACAGTTTGAGAAAACATTTGCCAATAAAAATTGTGCCCAAAGACGGATATATGCTTCTCATCAAAGAATCATGTATTTCTGTCTCACAGGTTTTGAAATTTCTGAAAATCAGAAGAAGCAGGCTGCAATGACTGTAAGAAAATTACCTAAACAAAAAGGTAAATCTGCCTTCACCTTCCAACTCCACTCACTTTCTCTGTTAGACTGGGAAGCCAAAGCCTTGATATATGTGTTTACATATTCTTGGGCTTGTTTCTGTGCAGTGATTCACTGGGTTGGTAGAGGAACATGTACATCCCCAAGTATTCTGGACAACATATGGCAAATGGTCTTAAATATTTAGGGTTTGGGAATTAATAGTGTAGTGATATGGTGCCCAGACATAACCCACTGAATACAAAGAAAAATATAGTCTATCTTTATCCTTATCATTACTAGAAACAAGAAAGAAACTAAGATTTACCACTTATTTAGAGATTAGTGTATGTGGATGTGTACCTATAGCACTAGGTGTATGTGTATAATTTATTTAAAACTATAAGTAGCTTTGGCCTAGTTGTGCTGCAATCCCAAAAACATGAGGTTCAAGGACACCAACTGCTCTGTGGGAGAAGGTTGGGCAATTTTTTCCTGTGTAATTAACTGCCTCTGAAAATCAACCAGCTTGGGTCAGTTCCAACTCTGTAGTACACAACAACAACAGTTTATCTAAAATGGAGCTTTGGTGGCCTAATGGTAAGAAGCTGCTGTGCTATCTCAAAGGCATGTGGTTCAAATCCACCAGCTGCTCCACAGGAGAAAGATGGGCAATCTCCTCCTGTACCATTAAATTGCCTCTAACAACCCACTGGAGAATCAGGGATGGGTTGGTTCTGACTCAACAGTACACAACAATAACATGCTAAAGTTAGAATGGACAATGGACAACATCAAACTGAATCAAGAGAGAAAACATATTAATTTTCTCTGAAACTCAAACTAAAGTGCGCCTACCCTTCACTTGTTGACTATCTGAGACTTTGCATTTATGACAATACTAAGAAATCTATTACCCAACTATTTTATATATCAATAGTGTAATGATCATGGCAACAATGGTTGTAGAGCATTTCCTCCCTCTAAGTGGGTATTTGGGTGACCTCTAAAGTTGAGACACAATGCCCCACATCCTCCACTCATTCCTCTTGATGGAAGTCTAGCTGTTTTGAAGAATTGTCCTCCAGGTAGATGAGTAGGCTGCTTTAAGCCACCAGGTTCCTTTTCTGGGTCCCCACTTATTATGTGATCTGAGACTTTTCAACTCAAAGTTTCTATAGACTGAAAATGGAGAAGAGAAAGAAATGTCAGAGAGGCTGTTTGGAAGAATCTGTACATGTTTCATGACATCCTGAAGTGAGCCCAAACTGGGCCTGAAGTTTCTGCCTCAGTGGGGCCAAGAGACTACCAGATCTTAAAGGAAGTCCTGAGCCTTGAACCTCTCTGACTGTTTAGACCCAAAGGGCAGAACAGTCTCATGAATGCATGGCTTGCAAGGATGGAAGTAGAGCTCTGGCAGGAATTCTGACAGGGGAAGCTCTGTCCCAGTGTAGAAGGAGGTTGAAGTAGTTAAGCCATGGACTCTCCAATCACACACCCCAGTTTCATCCAGCTTTTTCTACAAGTCTCTCTACAGAACAATAATCCATAACTGGACTTATCAAAAGGAGATCTAGTGGGACAGTGGTTAAAGAATTTGGCTGCTAAACTAAAGGTCAACTGTTTGAACCCACAAGCCACTCAGCAAGAAGATGTGGACAGTCTAATTCTTAAAGATTAACAGTTTTGGAAACTCTATGGACAGTTCTAATCTTCTACAGGGTATTGTGAGTTGAAATTTACTTGATGGCAGTTCGTTTGTTTTGTGACTATTAGACTGCTGAAGTAGCTTATTTCTGATAGTCACTCTCCCTGTCTCTAAGGTTTGGCATTCTTAATAAGATAGGTCTTTTTCCAGATCCTTCTTTCGCTTTTATCAGTTGACTTTGATTCAGAATGAGTCACCATGTGATTGAGTTAGAAGTGCCTGAAATTCCATCAACTTTACAAATCAACTTATTTATGCCTAATAAAATTAATGTTGCTTGAGGACACTGAGTACCTGTGAATATTTACGGTTAATCTCTCTACCTAACCGGACTCTTTTGCTCAACATGGCCTTTCTTTCAGTAATTGCTTCTTGGCTCTTCCCTTCACCATCGAAATGTGATTCTCCTTGCATCCACCATCACCATAACCTTTGATGATGAAAACATAAAAGGCTGTTAGAAGACAATCTTGAGTCAATGTCAATGATGGTATGATCTGCTCTATCCTGAGAAACCTGAGAGGTTTTGATCTTCCTAAGAGATCTCAGTAAATATGAGTTCCAACCGCTTGTGAATTTTCAGACTGTGAAGAACTTGTTCTCTCAGGAGCACACTCTTTTCATCTCATGTGCTTCTCTCACTCCAATTTTTCCACTGCTTCCACCATCCTGACCTCTAGGCTATCTCTTTACCTCAGCCAATGCTCCATCAACCATATAATTCAAATTTACTCTTTATAATCAGCATCATTCACACAAGCAAATATAGTAACTCCTTTCTTTGCCTGCTAATCCGGAGGTATAAGCAGTCCAAAGTGGATAGATGGCATTCTTAATATTCTTAACTTCTAGTTCAGTAAAATCAATCTTGTATCTCCAGAAGGGAATATTCTTCCCTTTGGAACTAAGACTTTCAAACCCAGAGAGATTAAAGGCATAGAGTTAGGAAGCAAAAATTTTACAAGTGAGTCACCAGAGGAATTAGTGAGTAGTATATCTCCCATTTTTATCCCTTGACTCCTGAACCCATTAATCCTAGCTGTTGGATAAAAAGCTTAATTTAGTAGATGCTGGTTTAAAGCATGCACAGCCAAAGGGAGAGAACATTGCCTCGGCTGTGTAAAGTATTGCCACCTAACTGGCACCATCATTCTGTAGGACTATGTACTTCCTGATGATGGGGAACATGGTATGACCAAATAATTCCATGAGCATGGGCCTACTGCCACACTTGATTTACTGTGAAATGAGCCTCTTGATCTGAGGTGATGCTGTGTGGGATGCCAAGACAATGGAGAAGATATTCTGTAATTATGTGGATGGTAGTCTTGGGATAAATATTGTATGTAGAGAGGAAAATCCATATACAGAATCAATGTCTGTTCTAGTAAGAACAAAACACTGCCTTTTTGTTATTGGAAGCAGTCCAGTGTAATTAACCTACCACCAGGTTGCTTATTCAATTGGTCCTGTATCTAGGACTCACAGCCAAATCGGCATTGATGAGTAGAAGTCCATGTTGTTGAGCCCATGCATAACCTCCAACACTGTCACCACGGCCATTTTGTTCATGAACTCATTTAGAGCTCTAGTGGCCTAGTGGGAAAAGAACTGTGCTGCTAATCCAAAGGCAAACAGTTTGAATCCACCATTTGCTCCTCAGGAGAAAGATGGGAAATCTCCTCTTCTGAGATTTATGGCCTCTGAAAAGTCTCTGGAGGGTCAGCTATTATTTGATCAATGGCAATGAGTTTGAGTTTCCATTAGGCAATGACAGAAGTGTCTGACAAATAGGCAAACTTAATTTCCATAGAATATGTCATCTTTCACATTTGTTTCCACAGAACATGTTATTTTTTATATTTTATTGTTAAAAGCATCCTTTGCTAAGTCTACCCTTGGTGAAAATTTATGTGAGATAAAATTATCTTAACTTCTTCGGTCCATTCAGAGAAGTCTATCCACATACCTCTTCCCTTACTCCACATATCCTTGTCATAAATTTTTCAACCATGTTCGCTCTGAGTCTCTGACCATTCAGCCAAATCTCTGGCCAAACCCATTAATCTATTTATAATATTACAGCTAGCCTTTTCACTTTACAAGGAAAATGTACAACCAGTTGCATTACCTGAAGGTCTGCTAATTGGGAGGACACCTCTTTCCCATTGACTTCAAGGAGTACCTAGAAAAGGCTGAAGGGATGTCACTCTCCACTTTCAAGTGGTGCCAGCATATCATGTATAGCCATCTTTTTAAAAAACACAACTTTTCTCTTCCTCAGTCATCAGGAACTCCCCATAAGTACGTAGGTGACAAATGAGAAATAGAAGATAATGTTACAGGAGTACATGCCATGGGCATGTGTAGTATTTCCTCATGTTACTTACTAGTGCCTTCACATCTTGCTCAAGCCAATATCATATATACCACTTCTATCTAAGAGTGAAGTAATGCTGTGCATGTACAACTTTATGGTTTTGGATCAGACAATACCCAGTTCATGATTGCCAGCTCAGGCAATATAGTGACTTGGGGGTTCTTGGTTAGATCTAATTACTATTAAGGTCCAGTAGGAACCCAAAAGTTGTTTATCAAAAGGAGAGTAGTTATATGTAGAAGATGGCTTGACTTGGCTCTAAAATCTCAAAGGTCTACACTATGATAGAGTCATCCATAGGGGTCTACCCAACACCCCAAATGGTATTTCTGCAGGCCACTGACATTTGAAACACCTTGGATCAGTAAAATCATATAGCCCAAGTGCTAGATTGGCATACACAGCAGCCTAAACCTGGTGTAGAGCCATCTCTTGTTCTGGACACTACTCACAACTAGCTGCTTTTAAATTTATTTGATATATAGCTATTTTTACACACACAAATGAGAGATTTGTTGCCTCCAAAACCCAAAGAAGCTCACTAGGCATCATGGCTCCTTGTTTTGTTGTGTTGCTAGTTGTAGAAGAGGCTGAATGCATTAACTTATCTTTCACTTTACATGGAATATCTTGACCTGTCCAACAGCACTGTTGTTGATGCTGTTGTTGTTAGGTAGAGTTGCATTCAGTATCATCACTAACTTACTGACAAAAGATCTGAGCTCTGCCCTATCCTGTGCCAATCTCAAAATTTGTGACACACTCAAGCCCATTGCTGTAATCATTATGTCAATACACCTGGTTGAGGATCTTCCTCTCCTTTGCTGTCTTTTCATCTTCCCAAGCATGTTCTTCTCCAAGAATTAGCCTCTCCTAGCAACATGACCAAAATACACAAGACAAGGCCTCATCATCCTTACCTCCAATGAGCACTC